AATTTTTTTACAATGAGGGTGGCGAAACACTGGAACAGGTTGCCCAGAGAATTTGTGGCTACCCCATCCCTGGAAGTGTTTAAGGTCAGGTTGGATGAGGCTTTGAGTAACCTGGTGTAGTGGCAGGTGTCCTTGCCCATGACAGGGGAGTTGGAACTGGATCATCTTTAAGGTCCCTTCTGACCCAAATCATTCTATAATTTTATAACTCTTTGAAACCAGTACTGTGCTTTCCTCCCAATAGGTGCTGTGGCCCAGATCTTGAGAGTGTCCCTCATGCTTGTTGCCTAACTGTCCTAGAGTGCCAACACCAACCCTCAAAACCTGCTTGCGGCAGGGGAGGTGGAAAGACATTGAGGGGAGTAATTTCCATCCCCCAGTACTTCAGCAGCAAGCCCCAAGGTAGGAGCAGTCTAATGGCATTTCCTAATTATGCTAACTACCCATCAACAGCGGCGGCAGGGAGGCTGTGCCCACCAGAGAAGGCACAGCTCACCACTGAGATGCCTGAGCCACCACCAAAGGCGGTCGCTAGCCTCAGTACCAGAATCACTCTCATTTGCATAGGACTCCACCTAAGTTAATATATGCTGTTTCACTGGAAGGCTAATTAGCCAAAAACTGCTCTTCTAAGGTACACTGCTTCCCATGCACATGGCAGCTCACTAGAGCTCACTTGGGTACCGCTGCTGAGCATCGCTCTGTGCAACGTAAGACACGTCCCCAGTGCCCATCTATAGCTTTGGGCTCTTGTGGATTCAAGTCTCTCCCTCCTTGTTGACAGCTGTATTTTTTCCAGCAAAACTACTGCATAGCATTAAGATTACACAGGAAGGAGAAGCCTCTCAGTTATCTAAACAGAGGTCTGAAGTTCAGCCCCGCAAGCCTGGTCCAAGTGATGCAATTATTTTTTTTCTTCCCCAGAACAGGCTCCTTCACACGTGACAGTCACGTTTCTGTACAAGAGATACTGTCAGTGTCTTTTAAAAAACTTCTGCTTTAGTCAGGAACTCCCTTGACTGGCCCTAAAGTACTTTCTAAATTGGCAAATTCTGCCTCTCTTACACCATAACTGAAAAAATTTACAATATCAAATGGTTGAAAATGTCCTGTTAACTGTACTAAGTTATAAAAGCAAATGAAGAAACAACAGTCTAAAAATCTTTAATTCTACTTCAAAACGTGTAAAGCAGATAGTACAAGATACTCGATAACAAGTTCCACTCAAAAGAAGCTATTTTTATTTTCTGCTGTAATCCTCATCCTCTCATGTTTCTTTTATATTATTCCACCTTAGTCCAATGTGCATTTTGAGCTCTTAGGAACGTTGCTTCATTCTTGCTTATAAAAACATCTTCCTTTTCTACCACATTGTGATAACAACAAAGATACACTACAGGCAGAGGAACAGTAATAATAACCAAAATCTATATTACAGTTTTCAGTGAAATAAAGTCCAAAAAGTATCTAATCTGACCCCACTTTTCCGTCTGCCACAGAGAGTATGGATGCAGATGGACCAAAAGAATTTGTACATGGTATAAACAAGACCTTCCAGAGGTGTTCCAGGGGGTCTGTTGGCATATGGAGACGCAAGTACCAAAGACAGTACCAGTAGAAAGGGGATTTTCTTCCTGGACCATAGTTTTCTGGTGTAAAAGTGGAAACGATTATATCAAAATAGATTCTACTGATGATAGAAGGGAAAAAAAATTACGATTTTATTGACATTAAAATAGAAAATAAATTGAAATTTAGTCAATCACAACGTAAGTGTGAATTCCGGGGTATTTCATTCGCTGTGGTGTAAAAAGCCAGGCTGATACACAGCACATATGGCACGTAAGATCAGCTACTGGTCTCCATCCCTTGCAATACCCAGGCACAATGAAGTGACAGTCTCAGCTTGGAGTTTGATTTGTCTCCAAGCTTAGATGTACTCCGATACGTATTTCTACTTAATATACTTCATCAGAACGTACAAAGGGGAGAATTCCGAGTCAGAAATGATAGAGGATGAGTATATACAGAGTCGCTGTGGCACCACGGGATGCAATATGGAAGCTAGTCGTTGTCAGAACCAGAAAACAGGAGGATTAGGTCAGTAAATTTCTTATTCTGCTAAATCCTCAAATCCCTTCATCTCTTCTCATTGTCAGATAAGGACCACAGTCTGGTAGCTTGCTCTGGGAGCACCAACACATGCCCCTCTGACAAGTATTTATTAAAAAGAAGCAGCTTTATAAAAAAGCATCAATAACTTCCTCTCACAAGTAGCAAAGCAGTGATCAGATGCCCATCCGAAATATTTAAATACACATTAGCACACGTGTATAATGGTATCTCTAACAAAATTCACAACTCCTTCCCCCTCATCATCACACCTTCACTCTCAAGTGATCATTCACTACGCTGCTTGTGTTAGTTTGTGTACCCATCTCTACAGTAATTACATTAGAAGGCAGATACATTACAGGATTAACTCATGTGACATGCTCCTTTATTACACTGATTTTGATCAAGGGCCAGATATATTTTATTTTGCCCTACGATTGCAATGTTAATCTAAAATAATCTTAAAAAGATCACCATCACATGCGTGAGGCTGATTTCTCAGATCGACTCTCTCCCAAATCCAAGACAAGATTATGTTGAAAGCACAAATGCACCCTGAGACGTTCACATGCAAAATAAAAGAGGTCAAAGTAAAGAAAAGGAAAATAAAAACACAAAAAAAAACCCACCCTGGTTATTTTGCCTTCAGAATTTTTAAATATTTTCCCAACATCTCAGCAAAATTATGCATTTTAAAAAGACTGCAGGCACTGAAATGATTGTCAGTCATGCAAATAATCACTTACTTACACTGTATGAGTTTGGTTTGGATAAAGCAAATTACCATTTGAAAATAACTTGAAAAACACTCTGGGCTAAGAGCTTGCTTTATAATTTTTAGCTTGGCCACAATTTTTCTTAACCTTTTTCTCTTCAATCTCCATTCAGTCCCTATACTAATACAGTAGAAATTAAAAATCAGCATTCAATTGCCACAGGTGCATTCAACATTACTTAAAACATGATCCTGTAAAGAAAGAGTAAATACTGGCTGCAGCTTAAGGTCAAAACCCAAAGAACTTCAGGGTTATGCAGAAGCAGTCCTTTATTCTGCTTTTTTTTTTTTCTGTGATGATATTGGGATTTGTCTGAAAAAACAAAAAACTCAGAAATTAGATCTAGATTTAGTTGTTGAATAAAATATATATATTAGAGATACTAGAGCTGATATTAATCTGTGTTTCTAATTACTCGGCTGAGAAAGTTGTACAGTCGCTCAGTTTTTTATGAACATCTTAATTTTGTCCGTCGCTCCTGAAAAGAGCTTTTTTGATATAATTTCAATGCAACAACCACAACGAAAATGTCAAAGGCGTCCTGCTTCGTAAGATGAGATTTAACACAAGAGCAGGGCCTTAAGAAGAGCACGCAGCAAGATGGGGATCTTCCCACTTGACCAATTTGGGTAGCAGACTACTGATTTTACCCACCTCACCACTTTCTGCTTTGGACACGGTGCGTATGACTTCAGACTAATTTGTCAGGTCTCGTTTGACCCCACCTGCCAGGGCTGACGAGTCCAAAAGAGCTGATTTAATACACGAGGCAGGGTTATCACAACTTCATCTCCAAAGCTAGGCTTCCTACGGTATGCCAAAACCACGAGACCCTTTTCAAATGGCTCCATCTCAAATATGCTGAGCATCCACAGCACTCCTTTGCTCTTGAAAAGTATGGTCTCTTAAGAAGCAACAGTAGATCCTCAAATACACATGGAGACCAACCTCCACTGCCATCCAGGCAGCCAAGTCCCTAAGGAATACCGGAGGATTTTAATTTACTTGTCAAAAACATTGGTTTAAAGACTTAACTTTAGACATTGTTTTCTAAACGATTTACATCAGTGCTTCGGAATAGAAAGTTTTCCAGCTTACTGAAACAGGAACCTGGCAGCGTGAGCATCAAGAGAGTGCATGACCTCAGCTCCTGTACTAAAAATCTCTCCACCCCAAACTACCACAAATGTATATTTAGTCTTTGAAACAACTGTGAGCACAAGCTGGTCAGGGACAAAGATCTCGAGTGTGACCAGAACCTATTATCAGATCAAAAACCAACTCTTGCAGAGTCATTACGGTGCTTTCTGTCCTTATTTCAGTAAAAAAAAAAAATAAATAAAGTATCCAGCATCGTGCCGGTTTTAAGAGTATAATCAAATCGCAGAATCCTACTCTATTTAGTACCGGTCCCACTGAAGCAAAGTTCCTGTTCGGTGGGAGGAGAGTCCCCTATAACAGGAAAAACAATTGTGCCAGGTTTAATCAAAAGTGAAAAGGATCTAGCGAATGTTCCCTTTGAGCCACATAACCCACCGTTAATTTCGAGATGGGCTCTGGAACGAGGGCAATAAAAAACGTCCTTCAGAGTAACCGAGCAAGACTGAAGAGCAGCGAACGCCAACATCTGCCAGTCCACTCCCTCTACCGGGATGCTTTTCCCCTACCTGGAAAGCCATAAAAGAAGAGGTAGGGGAGGGAGGAGGGGATAAAATCCCACTGCAACACACCGAGGGAAATATAGCTCCTTGACTACAGGCTTCTCACTTTTACTCTTCTCTAGAATTTCTTTCTCCTCCTTGTTCTCCCCTGCACAGATACATACAGGGGACGAGGCAACTCCTTAAAGACTGGAACGAGCGGGAAATGGCTCAAACAAGTGGGAAATCACTCATCCTGAACGAGGTGAGCTCGGACGATGCACGGTAAGGACAGGCTCGGCAGACCTGAATAGCCTCCGACCACTGAGATGCATTTATCGATCAGGGGATTTTTGCATATAATCAAACTCTTTCATTAACGATGCTTTAGCTGATTAGTTAGAATGTCACCATAAATAGAGAGTTTTGACAGGTTGGAGGCAATTTATGACACGGAAAATGTACTGACCTGCTCACATCAGGAAACCTGACTGGAAAATAAAGAACTTGGCACTTCGGTCTGATTATTTTTTCCAAATCCTTAGGTCTGTGGTCAGGAATCAGCTTCATAAATTTTCCGATGGATGTAAGAAATGACTCCATATTAAAAGCAGAGTTGAACACCACAACATCAGCAACCAAACTGCAAAAAGCAGTTAAGATTATTGAACGTACTGCTGCTGCAAAAGGAACGGAAATATTTTAAATGCAATGGAAATAGGACACGTATTCTCACAAACAAACAAAAGGTGCAGGTGGAATGCTAATTAAAATCAGCCTTTTCACGTGAATTAGGGGTAGCATATGTACCTTTAATTAGAAATGTTTTTGATTTCTGTCTATTCACTCTCTGAAGTATTTTTAAACTCTTTTTTAAAACCCCTAAATAATAATTTATTATTATTATTAAAGTACAGGAGCACATCCTATTCTATCTGTGGATCACGTTTCATTCATAAAATGGTCGAAATAACATCACTGTCATTATCTTTTAAAAGCATTATAAACAGATAAGGCCCATCGTAATATGACTTTTGTAGAAGTAAACTTGGAAGAAAATGAAAATTCCTTTAGAAATAATGCTTTGCGCTGAAGGATAACTTACCTTTGGTTAACCTACCTTCGACTGAGCAAGTGTGTCAGGTAGCAGGATACTAGAGAAACAGAATGTTATTTTAACCTATGCATACATAATCCTGAGTAAAAGTATATTCTCTAAAAATATACATATATATATATATAAAAATACATAGCACATAGTGCCAAAAAAAAAGTTGGAAAAAATTCGGCATACTAATGCAATGTTTCGTTCCTTAGTGCTGTGTTCTAAATCAACTTTAAGATATTGTTAAACGATAACGTAGAGATTATTTCTCCACTTAGAGCTGGCCTGGAGAAAATGAGAAGCTACCAAAAAACCTGAAATATCTGGAAGTGTATCCTGGAAGTGCTGACACTCCGGCAAACACGCAACGCTAACGGAGGTAAGAAATGCTTTATGGCCAGTTGGTTTTCTCAGTATGTTATAAATTGTTTCTCAGAATTGTTATAAATTCTGCACTGATTTACACATGACATGAGACAACGCAGGAGCCCAGCACGTTTCTTTGCCACTCCCTGGCACGTAGCAAAGGCTCCCAACACCATCACCTCTGCTTCTCTTCTGCATGAAGTCCTATCTGACCAACTTCTTCCTGCAGGCTCTGCATAACTCTGGCAAACTAGAAAGCCTGAGCAGCTAAAAGGAATCTCACACATTGAAAAGTGTGATTTTATTACACAAACTCCACAGAAACATCAGGGATGAAAAAAAAAAATATTCTCTTTCTTAATTATCTAAAGCACCAACCTGAAGATTCAAAGTGCTCTAATTTTAATCATCTCCAAAACCTCTATGCAAAACTGGAAAGATATATTTTTCCCATTTCTAACAGATTTGGAAGAGGGCATTTCTTTGCAGGAGACCATTAGGTAGTTACAAACTGTACAGAGGAGAGGGCTTCTATCTGCTGTTAAAAATGGGGTTTCTGCAGCAACAAAAAGGGAAGATGAACATTATATCCTTACATGGAGAAGCTATTAGAGGCTGAAGGAGAAAGAATGGAGCATCCATAGAAGTCTTTTGGTTTTTTTAAGGCAAAAAGATACTTTTATTATCTTAAAAACGCATATTTTGAGGCTAAACACCAGCTTATAACAGATGTGTGAAAAATAACCGCCATAATAAAGCAAAATACATACACAAAAAAGTATTCCTTTCCCCAGTGCCAAAACCCACATCTTTTTCTTATAAAATCTGCAAATGGCTGCTACTGTTTTCAAAAGAGCTTTCACTATCCTTTTCCATCTTTACTGCTCAGTAAATGAAACATGTTGCAAACGCTGTGGCAGAAGCAGCTACAGAATGACCAGAGCATACACAGATCAGTATTTGATTTCAATATCAACTGGTCTGTATTAAAAGATGCAAAAGCTTAACTTGTACCTTCAAATGCTCAATCCCTATTCCTAATAACTCTCCTACTAACAGATAGGTGAGAAAGGACATGGAAACGAATTTATTTCGGTTCAAAACAACTGAGTTTTGCTGTTTCACTTAAGCTTGTACAGTGCCTAACCACAAAGCTTTTCAGTGTTGCTGTTATTAACTTCTTTCATTAACTCAGATTCGAGAAATACATTTGTTTTTAGCAACAATAAAGGACCGCAGCCTTTAAAACGTCTGGGTATTTTAGCACTGCACAATTTCTGAATACTAGATGAAAGAAATATAAGGATTTATCTGGTATGTTTACTGCCCTCTCTTCCCAAGAAAAGTGCCGCAGTACATTTTAATTCCTGTTTATTTCCCTAAAACCCTCTACGTAATTTCAGTTGGATGCAGTAAAAGCTACGGCCAAGCAAGAGCTGATTAGCTCCAGCTTGGCGAAGCGTCCGCATCGTTACCAGGTCGAAATCCGCCCGGCTAACGGGCACGCCACGGCAGCCCAATGCAGCATCCGTGGGCTCCGTGCAATAAATCGAGCTGAGTTTATAGAGCAGATCGTTTCTGTACACAGAGCTTTTATCAGCCTCTCCTCGGGACTCTGCTGGGACCTGGGTGGGCTACAGGGTCGTCGCTTATACGGAGGAGGAGGAGGACTCAGCCTCACAACGCCACGCAGTCGTAGGCAGGAGGACACCTTAAATAAGATGGGGCGGCGCGAGAAACACCTACCATGAAAGAACCTGGTTGTATCCATACTGAAAATCCCTTTCCTGGCGTTTCTGGACAGGATACGCCAATTGATTCTCATGGAAGTAGAGGACCTTTTTCAATTTGCCAAGGTCAGGGCGGAGGGCGGCGAGTTCAGCCAGGTTAAGCACCGAGCTTGCAAAGAGGATCCTGGAAAACAAGGAGAGCAGTGTTTACTGTCTGTGAGCATTGCTCGCCCAGGTCACCCCTTCCTCTGCTCCCCCCCTCCCCAAAGAAAAACATAACCCCTGTAGGGACACATCAATAGCTAAGCCTTAATACCATGTAGCAGCATTGGAAGTTTTGATCTCTTAAAAAGCAGCTGCTAAGAACCCAACTAGAAAAGCACCGAATCTCATTGGTCTTCCCAGCTCGGTTACAGAGAGATGCAAAATAAAAAAGCTGGATGGATTTTATTGAAAAAGGCAAGAAAAGCTGTATCTGAAGGACAAATGGAACAAAGATAAGGCTGACTAGGGAATACTTTGCTTGCCAGTTTCATTACACTTTACTTCTTTATGCAACCAACTACTGAAATTCAATATATGAGCA